TATGATAAAGGTTTTATACCACCAAAGGGAGAGAGGTGTTTTCTTAAACGTCTCATTTGCAAACTCGCAGGATTGTTTAGCTCACACTCTATTTTAATGTAAGTAAAAGGTTTTCATGTTTATAACGTGTGGTGACGATGCTGGAGAGCGTCATGTGATTAACGACTGCAGGTGAGAACAGACCAATGAGAAGGAAGCATTTCACCACCTCCGTTTATTTACATAAACACTTGAACACAATACAGAAGAAGAAGAAAAGAAATTACACAGCGAGCATGCAGCATCAGTTCATACACAACAATATTGTCATAGTAAAACAGCTGAGTCATTAGCTGATTATTGATCATTGATTATTGATGGTTCGCAGCATCACCGAGGTGAGAGGGAAACAGCAAGGACATTGTGACCTTTGACCTTTTGAGTGTAAAGGTCAACCACCCTGAAAAAAAATCTTTTCTACGTCACGTCTGGTTACAGAGGCAGCGAGAGGAGGGGCTTCAGTGAATCTGCGAGTTCCAAGTTCAAATAGTTGAATCTATAAAAGAACCAATAAATAAGGAAACACGACTTCAGGTGTTTCTGATTTTTAAATTCAGGTGAGTTCTGACTTCAGCAAAGTCAGCAAAAATCAGCTAGCTCACAAGCTAATGTTAGCATAAGAATGTTTATTTTATTCTTAACCTTCATCGTTTACAAACGCTTCTGTGGAAACGCACTTATCAAAACATCGATCACATCCGATAAATAATCGATTTGATCCTGACAAAAACGACTTAAAGGTGTTTTATAGGTTTTAGCATCAGTTCAACAACCTCAACTGGGAAATTGTTCCTTCGCTTGTTAGCATTACTAGCATCAACAACTGTTAACAAAGAATGCTATCCATATGTTAACATGTTAGCTTGATGGAAGCTAACAGTGCTTGTTTCTGAAGTGGCCCCCCCCCACCCTCTCTCCGTCCTGCTGTTTCCTGTCACATCGATGACACACTTCCTGTGGTGAGCGTGCTCACACTGACTCAGGAACTGTAAACACCTGCTAACATCTGGTCAGAGGAACAACGTGAACATTAAGATCAATTCTTCAGTTTCAAGCGTAAACATCGATATATTCATTAAAAAATGACATCACAGATTTTCTCAGGGATGAGTCACTGATAAATATACGTTCAAGTGTCGTAAAGTTAAAAGTGGACGTGCTGCTTTAGAAAACATTCACCCTGCCGGGGGCCACCTGGAGACTGACAGGGTCGGAGGTCATTTCACTGGAAGAGGCTGAATCAGAAGTTTCAAGAACAAGCTGACATCTTTATTTTAATCCTCGAACAAAATGTCCGAACTGAAGCTCAGAGTTTGAGACTGACGATTAAACAATTACTCCTTGAACATCTCGTCATCGATTTTCAGACACTGTTCCATAAACTGCTCTGTAACTGGTCCTCATGAAAAGAAGGAGGAGGAGGCGGGGAGTCTTCGAAATGATACCGACGCCATTTTATAGACATCGTTTGAACTGAGAAACGACAGAGACTAAACATCAGAGGCCTGTTCTACAAAGTGAGTTCAACAAATCCAGGATCTCTTCAGTTATCCAGCTAAACTAAACCAAACTATCAGAGTCAGGCTAAGTGGTCACATGACGCTGGTTATCAACTGGTTAAGTTAACTCAGGTTTTCCTCATCTAGATGGGGGTGTGTGCACATAAAAGGGGCGGGGTTTACTGACAGTTTGACTGACAGCAGAGCTGAGGATCAAACTGTTGAATAATAAAAATCAGAGAAGAACAAAGATCCAGAACAAAAGAAACAGTTCCAGCTGCTAAACGCAGAAGAACAGCTGGTGACACATCTGGATTGTGTCCATGTGGGAGTTATATATTATGTGACCACGAGATCTGAATCTGTTGTTTACTCACAACGTGTGGAAGTGAAGTAAAGATGCCTCTTGATGAGAAACGTAGCTAAGCTGTAGTAGTACTTAAGTTACCATGGTGATTTACCCCGATACCAAGTGAACGAGCTTTGTAGAACTGAAAACTCTGAATTAAACCTGAAGTTACCTGATAATCACAAATCCTGGTTCATAGTTCAGGGCCCAGGAGTCAAGATCCAGATGTTAAACATCTGCTGCATTTTTTGATCATCAGAACCACGGAGGCGGCCGATGTTCAGCCGAGAAGAAACAAACCATAAGGATTGTATGTTGACGTCTTCCCTCAGTGATTAAAGAACGAAACCTGAGAATCATCCAAAGCCAAACAAAACGAAATCAATCTGACACTAACCCTGTAAAACCCGACTAGCGAGTGGTCGCTGAAGAAACAATCCGCCATCCACACCTTTAAGTAATATATAATAAAAAATAATAATACAAAATTAAATCTAGGACATTTTTCTGTTGTGTTGGGGCGTGCGTTCAATACCTGGTCCCGCCCTGACCATCTGATGTCAGTTGTGACATAATCAAAGAAGCCCCGCCTTCTCTGCATAACCCGAACATGGCCTACGAACTTTGATTCAGCCTCTCGAAGTGTCAGATAAACCCAAGAGCAGCGGCGCGGTGGCGAACACATTCAGCGATTGCTAAGGGAACACATGTCACACTTTTTAATGCACATCATACTGATCAAAATCATAAAGCTAATAATTCACGTGCACTCTGTTCAGGTGACTCACATCGTTAGCGCAGGAAGTTTGATTCAAACATGAAAAAAGCTTTGAAAGATACAAATGCGATACTGAGAATAATCATTTACTCGTAGTTAGATCTTGTGATCTGATCGTACAAACTTCTGACTGTAAAAACATTCACATCTCAAAGCCGCTGGTGTTTTGCTAGTTCACGGCTAGCAGATGCCATTGCTCCCAGTGAGGAATGCTAACAACGCTAACAAGTCAGAGTCAAGTCACTGCAGAGCAGGAAACAAGGTGACAGCTGTGAACAGCAAAACGCTGCGGAGCCCGAAAAACTGAAACACGAAGCACAACGTCTGGCATGCATCACGAAATCTGTACAGAGTCAAAGAATCACTGAAGAGGAAGAAATATACGCTCCGTCCAATCAAAACACATCACCATGGATCCTCCGTCCAATCAGAGCGAGTTAATCTTTCACTTGGTTATATCAGTTGTAACGTCATTAAGGCGGAAAAACAAAGAGACATATGAGGTTTCACAGGGCGACCACACCGACGACAGACCAACACTGCGGGAACGCCACAGTCAGATTGTCCTTTCTACGGAGTCCTAGAAGGGACAAAACTCGTTTGTGTTGATTAAAAGAGCTGGACTTATTTTTGTCACTTCTGGGACTCCGTACGGAATTCACTGACGGTGATTCTGATTGGCTGACGGAGGTCGAGAACAGAGACGTTTCTCCCGTTCGGTTTGATGTGATCAATAAAACGATCAATAATAATAATAATAATGATGTTTTACTGACTTATTTATTTTCAACCTGAAATGTTTTGTAAACTCGACCCGACAGATTCCCATGGTGGCTTCTGGTCAAGGTCAAAGGTCGTCCTCGTTAAGACAGCTGAGGGGGCGGCTGATCTGAGGGGGTGTGGCTGTTCATGGAAGATCGTAGGACGGAGAGCGATGGAAGTTTCTGCAGCTCTCCGACCATGAAGGAAGCAGAGCGTTGTGCATCCGAACTTAATCGTCAACGTGTCATCAGCGTTACCTGCTTTTCTCAACAAGAAATAATACGTTACATTTATTAAGTTTATATAAAGTTTATATTGAAATCATCAACGTTTAGAGGCCCAGAGCTGCCGTTCATCTTCTCATCTCAAGATAAAATGATGTCACATGTTCGAACTTTAAACTTTAAACTGGTAACCATGCCGACTCGTTTTCAATGATATCATATGATATGATTTGTGTATGTCGTTTTCTGTATGTTCAGGTGGAAACCTCACATCTCCATGGAGACATTCAACCACTGATGTTGAACAAACAAGATCTTCCAATTAAGGTACATTTTTAAAAATGTATATTTTATGAACCGAAACAGGAAACTGAGTAAACGCTGCCTCGTGATGACAAACTTTCAAAAATATTTAATCTTAAACTTGTGGTTATTATTGATCATCAATCAGATGTTGATGAGATACGAGGTTTCCACACCTTCACACAGCCTGTGCTGGGCAGCTGATTGGATGATCACAAAGGTGTAACAGAGTCCAAACGAGCTGAAAAGAGGAAGCTGATTGGCTGATTGATTGTGCAGTTCACTGCAGGAAGCCCCGCCCATGTCCCCTCCTCCTCCATTTGGTTTTTAATAAACTTCTAAAAGTCCTGCCTGGTCTGCTGTCAATCAATCTGTTGTCAAGGTGACGCTGGCCTCATCAACGACCCGCCCACTCTGGAAGTTAACTGCAGAGAAAAAGTGACGTCAAACAACTAATCAATAAAACTCCTCAATGAGATGAATCAATAATCACAATAACACAACTAAGCATCAATCAATAAGACTATTGATTAATCAATGAACTTTGATCTTGTTCTTACTTGCTGAGCGTGGAGGCGGAGCCTGAGCGGTGGAAGTGGACGATCTGCCACTTGCCGTCACGGCGATGCCACACCCTGGTCTCCTCTGATTGGGCGGTGCGAGGTGTCCCGTTGGCATCAATGTACTGAGTCACTCTGATGTAAGCGATGCAGGCGGCCTCGTCCCCGACCAGGTGGATGTGAGGGTTCAAGATGGTGGTGTGGACGGGTTTACTGTTCTTAGACCACACTGACACACACACACACACACACACACACACACACACACACATGTTACCAGCACAGCTGAGACCACACAGACACCTCAACACAGGAAGTCTTCTTCAACTCACAGTTTTCAAAATAAAAGCGGTGAAAGTCCAGGCCTTCGACCAGATTCCCCAACGCCTCAGGCTCGAACGCCGTCACAGCTGGGTCGCACATTTTACTGAGGAGAGACAGACAGGTTTTAGACTCACAGAGTCCAGGCCTAACCCACAATGACGAAGGAGAGACTTTCAGAATAAGAGTCTTATGAAGACAGTGGAGAAACTTTCAGAATAAGAGTCTTATGATGACAGTGGAGAGACTTTCAGAATAAGAGTCTTACGTACGTGTAGCTCTCAAAGTCTCCATTGCTGATCGCCTCGATGAGCTGCTCCGTGACTTTAATGATGTCCTGCTTCCTCACTGAGATACAGACAGACAGGTGGAGAGACAGACAGAGAGA